CAATTGGAGGCAATTCCTATACAGTATTTATTGCTATTCCTTTGTTCAAATTTTTGATTGCCCTTATATTTCTATAAAACATTATTTCTTTTATACAAATGTGTGATGAAATTTTATAATACAATTTTCCATCTACTCTTAACGTTCAAACCGTTAATATTACCTTAAAAATTACACAACCCGTGCATTGCACGGGTGTTAAACTAGTATCATTAAAAGAGAGAAAACAATGAGTCGATTTTTCTCTTGTAATTTTTATTTTTTATTTTCGTGAATTATTACGACGGTGGACGAAGACTACGTACGTTATTAGTAGCAACGGGAGAAAACTTTAGTCAAAGCTAAACGACATCGTTTGATAGCTGCCATCTGTTAGAACTCGTGAAGTTCTATTCACCGAAGAAACGAAATCCTTTGGGAATGAGAAGAGAACACATAAAAAGGCAGCCAACGAAACTCTACTGGCATATATTCCAACCCTAAAGTAACACCACTCTCTCTCTCTCTCCCTCCCAAACACAAATTCACACAGATTCATATATATCGATACATACATACATACATACATACATACATATAGAAATGGCGTCATTGGTCTGGACAACACCTACGTCATCTTCTGCTTCTTCTCTGTTTTCTCGCTGTTCTCTGACCCAACGGAACTTCGTCGCCGGACGATCTCTTGCTCCGAACGCCGTTGTATGATTTTCAACTTTTATGTGGTTGTTTCCTGGAGAAAGTGCTTTTCAAGTTTAAATGTTTAATGATGGTCCTATGTTATTTATCTGTACTGTAATTTTATTGAGTGAAAAATGAGTTTAAAAAAAAAAAAAGAGTATATCGTTTATCAATTTAATTTATCTCGTATAGTTTTTTTTTTTGTTTTTTTGAAAGCCAATGAAGTTTCCATTCCAGTTTCATTTCCTTTATGGAAAATGTTATTTATTGCGCTTGGATAAAATGGAATAATAGGGATTGTTCTTTTATTATATATGCTGCATTTGGACTATGGGAATTTTTTTTAATTGGCTGACGTGGGAATTATCTTCACTTTTTGATTTGTAATAGAGATGTGAGCTGACAGAGCCAGTGAATGGGAAGCCTTGTGTTCCCATTATCAGTGAACAAACTCTTCCAAAGTTCTTGCAATCGAGGCGACTGGAGGATGCGTTAACTAGAAATAGTAATACCAGGCTTAAAATTTTTTCTGGCCTGTCAAATTCTGCACTTTCTCAGGTGAATGCTGTTTCTGATAAAATTCAACTAAACAGAATTGAATGGATTATGAATTTTGGTTTGAGGTTGTCGAATCAATATTTTTGTTTATGCTTTCCAAGTTCATAGGTATGGATTAAAGTGAGAACCGAGACATTTCACGTGTTTTAATCCAGCTGAAATTGAAACAAAGATTTCTAGAATTACTCTTGAAAGGTTTTCGTAAGTGTAATGTATGCCCCCTGTTTTTTAATAGGTTGCTACTCCAAGTCGGTCCAACGAGCAAGTTAATCCACCATGTTGATGTTAACACATTGACTCGATAAATTAAAGTGTACTTAACTGCATGGGGGTAAATAATTAATTTTATCGAATCATAATGGGTATATTAGGTCAGATAATAAGCACCCCATAGGTGTGAGTAATTGAGCATTGAAAATCACTGCAATTATGGCAGCAGCAAAAGAAAATGTTAATAATTTAAAAAAATTAGGGTACAAGACTAATAAAAGCTCCTATGAAGGAAGAATAGAGAAAGGAGAGAGGAACAGAGCCTTGGTAGATGGAAAATTGGAAATTGCAAGATCAGTTTGATTTTAGAATGGATCCAGAAGAATTTTTTTTTTTTGAGCGGGATTAGTTTTTGGTTTTCAATTTGCTTATGAATTTCTAGGAAGTGCAATGAATCACGTGGATTTCATAGTTTTTCAGCACAGGTTGTCCCCCTCTGGTGCCATGTCAATCAATTTATCTCAAGAACAGATTTTTTTCTACCGTCATGCACTAAAACCTTACTTTTTGTGATTAATGTAAAGCCATTGGTACTTTTCTCAAAAGGAAAATGGTTCGGTATAAATACCTGAAAGTGGCTGGGGTTATAATTTTATTTTACCCATAAATAACTGAGAAATATATTAGAATAGAAAACTAGGTGAGACAATATTTAACAAGTATGGAGATTGGTGGAAAGTTATCCTTTATCTTATGTAATTTTTCATTAACCCAATTAAATTCTTAGACTGCCATACTTCTACCTCTATATTGATTGATATGGTTGCTTTCCATCACTTAGGAAATTGCTTGGTATATGGGGCTTGACCTGGGAAAAATTCACATCAAGCGGTTTGCTGATGGAGAAATATATGTTCAATTACAAGAGAGTGTTCGAGGCTGCGATGTGTACCTTGTCCAGCCCACATGCCCACCAGCTAATGAAAATCTTATGGAGCTTTTGGTCATGATAGATGCTTGCCGAAGAGCGTCAGCCAAGAATATCACTGCAGTGATACCATACTTTGGATATGCTAGAGCTGACAGAAAGGTGATTTTAGTATATATTAAATATTAAGTTAATTTAATAAGCATTTATGTTTAAGGATTTTCCATGAACACTCATGGTCTAATTCCTACATCTCTCCTGATATGATCTACTTAATGTTTTGGTAGGCTAATTATTTGTATATCATGTCCTGTACACATATTCATGTCCAATTTCCTTAGTTGGTTTGATCTATATCAATGTTGGAAATAGTGATACATACTTTTAAGATTATAAAACTTGAAACTAAATTATTTATGACATTATTTCAAAATAAATTGTCACTAATGATAGCTGGTGCCAATTATCTTAGCGAGGATGCCCAGAAATCAAATGCAGATATTATAGGTAGCTGATATTTTTTGTTTTGTTTTTGCATCACTAGACCCAGGGACGAGAATCTATTGCTGCCAAATTAGTGGCCAATCTTATCACAGAAGCAGGTGCAGATCGTGTTCTTGCTTGTGACCTTCACTCTGGACAGTCAATGGGTTACTTTGATATTCCAGTGGACCATGTATACTGTCAGGTAATTTGCCAGAGTTTTACTCTCTGATTACCGACTATTTTCATTTTCTTATCATCATTTTTTTGTTGCTTTGTGCGCAAAAGCCTGTCATCCTCGATTACCTGGCTAGCAAGAAGATTTGTTCCAATGACTTGGTGGTAGTCTCCCCCGATGTTGGAGGTGTTGCACGAGCACGAGCTTTTGCTAAGAAGCTATCTGACGCCCCTTTAGCCATTGTGGATAAAAGGCGTCAGGGCCATAATGTTGCTGAGGTAATTTCCTAATTGGTCTGTCTTCTTCTTCTTTAGTGCATTAGTCCAGGAAGGCTGACACTTTGTAGATTGAATTGAAGCCAGTGATGAGACATTTATTTAGATGATATATTTAGTGCATTGTAAAAATAGCTGACAAATGGCTTATGGATAGTGAAGATTTTTCCACATTAAGAATTCCTATGTTCCAAGCAATTCTCCTCACAATTGGTGTCAGGCAATTTTTCTTTTCTCTTGTATAGATTTTGAAGTTTTTGGATCTTCAGATTATAAAATCCTGTAATGCAAGGAGCATGAAATGATATGTTTATCAGATACAAATACACCTGTAAATAATGTGCCCCAGAAAATGAATGTAAGAAGTGGCTAGACGATTTTTATTTTCTGCTGTAGGAAGTATGAACCAAATAATACTGCAAACTAATGCCAGTACTGAACTGAAGTTCTTTTCCTTTCTGTTACCTCACAGTAACACATCTAGGCATCATAAGTTTGGGAAAATAGTGAAAACATTTCTGTCCTTTGTTTCTCGTAATTTTGTCATAATGAGATTGAATCCTTCATTTAACAAGTGTTGTTGCAGGTAATGAATCTGATTGGTGATGTTAAAGGAAAAGTTGCGGTTATGGTGGATGACATGATTGACACTGCGGGTAAGTAGAGTCACCATAATTGTGATCCTGAGATATGCCTGTCATTTTTCTTCCAACTAGTATTTCAGTATTTCATAAAATGGATGTAGTTGAAGGAAAATGCAAATGCAACGTCGATTACTCTTCACCCCAGGCAAGGAAGGCCATATCCCTTTTGTGTACTCCATCTCATCTACGAATAAAAAAAATAAAAAATAAAATTCTTTTGGAAGCAAATGGAATGTGTGAATACAGCATTATGAATGTCATGATTTAACGGTCAATCTTCAATTTTCGGAAAAGAAAATAAAAACTGAAGTGTTAATATCAGCAAAAATGTTCCCTGTCTATCTTCTGCTTTTCCCTCTTTTTCATCACTCTCTTCTAAATGTCGAATCCGTTTCTGTACTGCTATATTAAGGCATTACTGAAGCAATGACTGTATTGAAAGGCATTTAAGTTGCAGCTGAACGCACAAGTCATACATCAGAGGCATATCCCTGCAAGAAAAGCCCTGAACCACTGTCTCAAGGCTAGCCTAAGGAATGGCTTTATAACATTGATTGGCAGCTCCCGATCTCAGATAGCCATGTGACACGTGACAGTGGCCATTGGTTTTTATACGGCTGACTAACTGGTGTGACCTGTATTGTAGCTTATTCACAAGCAACAGAAAAGATAAAATCAGGACTCCTTGCTTTTATAATGGACATGGAAATTCGCTCGTGTTAATCAGCACTTTCTGTTTCAGTATAACTTTCTTTGCAATTAATTGCAATTTTCCCAAGCCCAGAAATTAATGTGTCGATTTCTTGTTGGTCTTAGGAACTATTGCCAAAGGTGCAGCTTTGTTGCATGAGGAAGGTGCTAGGGAAGTCTATGCGTGCAGCACTCATGCTGTCTTTAGGTAATTGTTTTTAATGGTATCGTTCAATTCTTGCCATTCTCTCCAGAGTCTATTATCTATCATGTTCAAAATGTGTCTCTAGTATGCTGAATTCCTAATTGTTTCGGACAACAATGAATTTCACATGCTTGACAATTTTGTAAATTTACCTTTCCATAAAATTAAACTGTGAGCACTGTGTACATATTGTTAGTAGAGGCTGATTCTCACCCACTTAAATATTTTTTTTCGGTCGAGTTGACAATCCTATATGCAGGTAGTGCGGACTCTTTTTCTTCCCAGTGTGATTTTGATGTAGAACTGTAAACAGAGCTAAAAAGAGAGAATTTGGGAAAAAGAAATGGCATTTGAATTGAAATATGAATTTACATGCAACAGTCATCAAATAAATTTAAACCTACACTACTAAAAAGTACTACCAAGAGATTTTTCTCAATTTGGTTTCAATTATCCGGCATCAACATTTTGGATATTAGAGTTATCATCATGACTTAGAAAGGAGATGTTTCAAATGAAATTATGTACTTGCAAATATAAGTAATGAAAGCACGTATAAAACCAATGGAGGAGCTCAGAATGGAAGGAGTCTCTGTAGTTATAGCTTTCTTCACTTGTGGTATAAGTGCAAAGGCTGTAATTGTACCGTATTGCATCTTCAATAATTCAGTTTTGTTATTGTGATGAGAAGAGGGGGCATTCGACTATGTTTTAGGATGCACCTATGATGTACTTGCTCATTTTTCAATGTATCGAGGATCATGCTATAATATCTATTAATGTAGTTTCTTTACAGCCCTCCTGCAGTTGAGAGATTGTCTAGTGGCCTATTCCAAGAGGTGATTGTCACAAACACTATTCCTGTAATGGAGAAGAACTACTTCCCACAATTGACGGTTCTTTCAGTTGCAAACCTCTTGGGGGAGACAATTTGGCGAGTTCACGATGATTGTTCTGTGAGTAGCATTTTCCAGTAAGTAACAACTAATTAAAGGACAATGGCGAGATGGTGACGACATATTCTTCATGCCTGGATAGTTTGAAGCTAAATAAATCCTCTCTCTCCTTCGTTTCTTTTAAAGGGAATCAAAAGATTTCATCCCTTCCCTCTAAACGAGGTTCTATCCTAGGCCATAGGCCTGGGAAGGCTTCGTTCTTTACTTCTAGAGCTTAGCCTCAACCTTAGCCTTTGCCTTTTGGTCTTCCCGTTGTCCCTCATTCATTCTCTTACAAGTTCTACACCGGTCTAATAACCCAAGCCTCGATAGTACACACATTTAACATTGATTGAGTCGCAGTTTAAGCCAATATTTATTTCCCTACAGTAGTCTTCTATGTTTCGTGTACCTGAAATGTAGAAAATTGAGATGTTGCTAAAAAAGTGATGGGCATCATTAAATATAAAATGAAAAATTTATTATATATTTCAATAATGCTCTTTACTTTAATTTTTCATTTTATCTTTTTCAAGAAACATTTGTTGATTTCTTCTCATATTTTATTTAACATATTTTTTCTTAAATATCAACGATCAATTAATCCAAATGTAATCTTTGTAAATTAAAAATAAAGAAAGAATTCGACTATGAAGTAGATGAAATCGTATATCTGAAGTCTCTTGAAGATGCTTTTTGAACGCAAACATAGATTGCATTAAAAGAGTATAATTAAATGATATGAGTTATATAATTTTAGCTTTTATCGAACCAATTATGCTAATATTATTGCTAATGCTATGATCAGTGTAGGTGTGTCATGTATTAATATTAATATAAAATTTATCTTGTAAGCTTTAAATATCTAATTAATTACACAATCTTCATTTTTAAAATTCATTTTGAACAACATATTCTTCAAATAAATAATTTTACATGTTAATTAATAATTTTTTTTACTTTTAATCATACATTCTTTTAAAAAAAAATCATTTTTTTACAAAATTCATTCTAAAAAAATCTCTACAAAACAGTCCAAAACATAGATCATTTTCATATTCAAAAGTGAAAAGTGAAGAATTTACATGGTTTGATGTAGATTTTTGAGAACCGTTTTTGTTAAAAGCGATCTTTTGGATAATGTATACTAAAAAATTAGAGAAAAGTTATTTAGCCTCTATTTGGACGGCATTATTCCAAGGAGAAGAATGAGAAATTGTATCTTTTGAGCGTGCAATTCAAGGAAAAAGTGAGGTGAAAGTAATAAAAAAAAAAGGTCAGGTGGGGCCCTTAAACGGTACAATTCTAAAAATGAAGAAAAAAATGTGGAACAAACAAAAGCTTAAAAAATGAAGAAACTGCAACTAAATGAGAGTGAGTGCGCAAAATTACATTATTGAGAAAATGTATGATTAAAAATTAATTTTGTTAAATTTTAATTTAAAAAAGGGAAAATTGAAGTCACAGTACCAAACCTTTCAATTTTTTGCAGATTTTATCCAAACCTTTATTTTGTGTCATCCACGATACCATACCTTTAAACATTTCGCATACGGAATCCAAATGGACGGTTTCCATCCAATTGACCGTTAGTTGACCAATCTTTAAAGGATAAATATGTAACTTTACATTTTTCCTATATAAAAATTAAAAGAAAAGAATTAAATTTAAAAAAAAAACATTTACTGTTCATCTTCTTCCACCCCCTCCCTTTCGATCAATAGAATACCTTTCCCGAAGAAAATTCAACCAATTGAATGCAACGTCCAAACTGAACCACCTATACTTGAGCTGATGAAGCCAAACTGAACCACCTATACCAGGAAAAGGCTATCGGCAACATAGGTGCTGATGAGCTTTATCACTGTAACACGGATGGTCAATTGGCTAGTTAATTGATTCAATTGATGGATTACCTACGGTATTATGGGCCTCAATTAAATGTTGTTTGATAGAATCCATCATTTGAAATGCATGTAGTCCATCAATTGACTGATTGCATATTCCCAGAAATCGTTCATGAGTGGAAAAATTATCCTGGACATCGATGTGTAGGATCGGTTTTGATGAATTAAGGCTATGAAATTGGTCGCCTTGGTGAGGAGCTTCGGCTGGTGGTGGTTTGTGATCGTGCGTGTTACGCTGAGTGGTATGAATCTGGATGGAGGTCGTGTGTTGCTTGGATTTTGAAGCCAATTTTTTGTCTGATTTGGTTGTTGTTTGGGTTGATGCTTGTAATGGATTTGGAAAATGGGCCGGTGGTGAAGGGATGGTGGTTGTGGTCGCGACGGGACCGATGGTGGCTGATTTTCTGTGGGGTGGGGTGGGAGATAAACAGTTTTTCCTTTTTCTTTTTTTAATTATTTTTGGGATTTT